TGATGAATTACGAGCTTCAATGAATATACATGATGCTAATGATGAGGAAATTTACGCGGCGCGCCTCGTAATCGAGCGATCTCGAATGCACAGCCGCAATATCCGATAATAACGTCATCAAATTCTATAGAAATATCTTGCGCCTCCCTCCCCTTACCCCGTGCGCCCCCTTCATGAAATTTTCGTGAGTACGGAATAATGATTCCCTCATCGACGGTCCAAAAATGTGAACTCGAAGGTAACACGAATACAATCTGAAGAAGAAAACCATAAATTATGTAATTGTAATGCAATTAAAACGATAAGAACACAATTTGAAGAAGAAAGCAAAAAATTATGTAATTATGGTGCAATTAAAACGATTATATCCTTCAAAGCTCAGATTCTTTAAAAATAAATTATCCCGTAACTGTTCGTGCAAAAATTTTTATACGCGTCTTTTCGAGACTTCACTTCTGAGCAGCATCTTCATCATCATCGCGTCTTTTTGCAGATGTTGCGTCCCTGAGGACTGATTTCATCAAAGTCCGTAAACTTCATCCGTAAGTTAACCAACTTAACGCTCTTTACTCTTTTAGTTTTAGAGAGAGAGAGAGAGAGAGAGAGAGAGAGAGAGAGAGAGAAGAGAGAGAGAGAGAGACGAAAAGAAAGCGGGTCCCGCGCGGGGGAGGCGCGGGGGCGGGGGAAGACGGAGCCAAGGATCGGCGTGCATGATTTTTCAGTATTGCCGATCGACACTATCGGCGATCTTCGCGGCGGACTACATTAGTCTCCTGCCATACCCTAATCTTCGCGATCACTTCACGACGGCCGCGCGCTCCAATCTTCGCGAGGAAGCTCTCTCGACTGGAACAGATCGGCCCCCATGCGCGCCTTCGGCACAATCAACAAAGAGGGCGATGCCTCCTCGCCTCCTCGCAGGCGCAGGAGAGGGACGTATAGGAGCTAAGATCTGGTGAACTTCGTTAGCCTTCTTGTACATCTTTGATCCGCGTGATCGCTTCGGATATCACTCGACCATCTCGGCGTGCATCGGCAAAGTTAATTCTTCAACCGTGACGACGCTTCATCAGATCGCGCACTTCGGATTGCTCTTTTCACCCTTTTACGTCCCGGGGGCGATTATCACTCGCAATGCAAAGTACCGCAAAACCGACGATCGTCCACTCACTTTCTTCTGTGATGCATGTCGGAAAAAATGTGCCAGAGAAAAACCAAAGCAGGATACTTTAATTTTTTCGTATTTAAAGTCTGATTTTTTTTTAAATAAGATGTTAGTTTATATGATTATTATTGTAACTAATCAAGATTGAAATAATATTGAATAGCGCAAAATGATGTTAATTTTATTTTATTAATATAAATTATCCAAAAATTATGATTGCAATGAAATACAATAATATATCTTTGTGTAATAAACGATGTCTTGTTTTGTATTAATAACGGTATTTATTACGTAACAGTCTAGAACATAATAGTACTTCTTTTCTATTACTTATGATAATATCTCATATTGCCAAGTCATACAGGCACTACTTTGCTATCTATAGAGAATGGAATTCCAGCCAATGATAAATGGTATCTGTATAAGTTAAATCTATGTGTAGTGTTACACAGAGATCTGTTTCCTACAACTCTCTCTCTTTCTCTCACTTTCTAAACTATTTATACATTTATAATATTACGTACTTTATATTTATATATTCTTTTATTTATACAATTCTATATATTATACAGTAATTTATACGTTTTACTCATAATTAAAAAAAATTTTGAAAAATCAGGAATATGATATATCGAGACAATATTAGAGTAAAAAGAATATATATAAAATTCTACAATCGTATGTATCTGTTTAGTAACGTATAGAAAAATAACTCAATAATAAGCAAAAATAAATTGAGATTCCCACACTTTGACTAACAACAAATCTCAACTGACAATGAAAGTTAAGCTACCAATCGCTTCTGTATTTTTTGTGGAAAGTGTAATTGAAAGAGTAAGAGTGTGAGAGAGAGATAGAGAGAGAGAGAGAGAGAGAGAGAGAGAGAGAGAGAGGAAAAATTGTCTATGATTTTAATTTATAATTAAAAGTTCCTTTTCTCTTGCTTGCTTCAATCTATAATAAATCATCTAATTAAAAAAAATATAGGCGCCGTTTTGCAGAAAGGCTATAGCCTGAGTAAAAGCTGATTATACAAAAAGGCTGCGACATATGTATACATATATATATATATATATATATATATATAATATGTATGTATATATATATGTATGTGTAATTTGAATGAAAGAAATAGAAAATATTATATTACTTCTTTTTGCAGATTTCTCATTTAAAGATTTACGAAATACGAGATTTTTCGAAATATTTTTAGTTTTTTAGTTGTAAAGATATTTAATTAATAACTTTCTAGTTTCTTCTGTACAAAATAAAAAAATCATATATCGTAATCTGATTGTTTCTGAATACACGGTTCCGCTCTACGAAGCAGCGGTGCGGATCATCGGGAGCCCGATTCGGGCGGTGCCCGGGGAGTCCCTCTGAGTCCCCTGAGAAAGGAGGCAGGTATAATAAAGGAGTAACGCGATACGTATGATTTCGCTAACAATACTAATCGCGGCGCTACCGGCGATGCGACCCTCGGCATTGCGAACTTTATTAGCTGGTCAACGGCCCCGGGCAATCGCCGTCGACGACGCTGTCCGGTGTGCCACGGGTCCACTTCGCTCGGTGTGCTCGCTTCCCTCTGTAAAAAGTAGGCCAATAAGTAAGCGAACCAGTTTCCCCGACTGTTCGAATGACATACGTCGCGGTCGTAACAGCGCGACAACGAGTAAATGTTCCCGAGAATGTTCCTGGGTCTTCCCTCCGCGGAAGAGTCCGCTATTTGTCACTTCGCAAATCTTATCAGAACTCGCCGCAAAGGCCGTCAGCTGAATCCTACACGTATCGGGCGCCGTCGTTTGACTTCTGAGATATTTAATGATATTTTTTTCCAATATCAACATCGGTTTCATTCACTTTCTAATTACAGTTATATTATAAAAAAAAGTAAATGTTTTCTTCTCTCTTTTTTTCCGTCATGATTAATTATGTAATCTTTTATAAATTTTACATGGTACTTTTCAAATATTAAATATTTTTATTTCTATTTTTGGATTTTTCCTTTAACTTTTTCATTCTTTGCAACATTTCTCAATAACATGATTCAAATATGATTCCGTATTTCTGTACGAAAAATTTTTTAGAAGCCATTAATGCAAAGAAAATCGTCAATGTAAGGTGATCTTATGTAAGATGTATTTTGTTACCAAAGATTAATATTAAATATTCCGTTCACTGTATCATGCATATTCAATATCGGATTTAATTATAATCTTAAAATAGCTCATAATGACGAACCATATTGAGTTATTGACTAACATTGCGCATTTAAATATTTACAGATAATCTAATGTATTTTGCTATTTTACTTTCGTATATAAAATTTTCCTTTAGAAATTTTATAAAAATAAGTTATTTGCGATATTATACTTAAAAAAAATCTTTCACTTACTGTCAGCATTTACTCTTTATACTTATTTTATTATAAAAATGTGTACTCAAGATTTAAAGTAAGAGATATGATGTGGAAAATCATATGGTTTTTGCGAATATTCAAAATGGTTATCGATAAAAATGTATAGATAACATATCACGTTTTATACGCCACAAATTCGATGCAGAATGCACTAAGTTGCAGCCTCGTCAAGACTGCTTGTTTGCAGCGAGAATAAATAACGTGTTTCCTTCAAGTGATTCTTTATGGGCCATCTAGTCACACGCACGTGTCACTATAGACGATATATAGCAGACTATAAACCAACCAACATCCGGCATAGATCTACGAAGAAAACGTGCTGGCGCGTTACAATTATAAACGACGACTCGCGACTCTTCTTTTTTCGACGCACGTCGGCACGTCTATTCCGATGATGAAGCTATCAATGTAGCTATCGACAATCTCGAAATTTGATACAATACACTTATTTTAACGAGACTTTGAAAATTTGCTGTTCAGTGCGCTATTAAGCTTAACGACGCGCACTTTGCAAACACCATATTGGGCTTGTAATCATACGTCTTACAGCGTCGCCGACGCTTATCTTAAATGTTGCATTTTTCGGTCGACTTGAGAGACCGGGACCGGCTTTCTCTCGCGCTGTCTACATTGTATGAAAATAATGACGGCATAAAAACACGGCAACGCGCGCGCGAACTCGAACGCGCATTAGGTTGAAATATATATATGAAGCGGGGCATCCTCGTCCTCGACGATCAGGAATATACGCCCCGGGGCTCGTTTAAAGGATCCGGACTCGCATTTCGCATTTGAACGGAATCGAGGGAGCGGCAGTTTCGTAACTATGCAGCGAGGATTGGCTTCCACGAAAATGGCAGGGAAGCTCTCAATCGCGGCGGAACTCGACATCGGCACAGCGATTTGTTGTATTTTTACTTTTTTCCTTTACACGGCCGATTGGCCGTATCTTTTTCGATACCGACGGGATTGGATCGGATCGCGGATGGAGAGCAGATCGAAAGCACTTCGATTAAGATGGAATGCGATGAAGTTCGAGCCGGCCTTGATAAACCCGCCCCGTCGAAGGAATGGTGAAGAAATAACTTCGCGTGAGTCGCTGGACGAAATAGCAATATAAGTCAATGAAAATAAGATAAATAAAATTTACAACTTTCATGAATAATAATTTTAGCGAAGTAGAATTTAAAAAAATTTTTTGCGAAATCTTACGAAACCTTAATATATTTAAATCGTAATACGTTTTATTTTCCACGTGCATTCGTTAAGAGAATTATAATATCAGCACGAATCTCGTTGGCTGTTCGCAGATTTTAGAACGGCAACAATTATCAATTTTTTTATCATGACTAGTAATCTTTTTCTTTGCTAAATCATCGGTATAATACAGATGTTCTTAATACTGCGCTCATTCATATTAAAGCATCAGGATAAGAATTCAAGCAGCGATTTTTTTTCGCGTTATTCTTGCATTGCTATCGACTATCGACTCCGCATCAATTACATTTCCGATGACGATAAAAATGTCGTCATACAGCGCAAAATTTGGACCACTTAATTATTTGAAGACGAATGCTAGAATAAGCATCCTAAAATAGATAAGTGTTTGCGAAATTTATGGATATCACAAATGCACTAATAAAAATATTTCTTGGCAGTAAAATGTTAGAAAAGAAATGTTAGATGTACTTAGAAATGAATATGTTTAGATTCTTTCTCACCACATTTTGTCGTCATGCTGTAGTGCGTGGAAAATTGCCTGGCGTCGAATTACACGAAACCTGGTTACTGTCCCGAGAGAATGTCCATGACGCCCTTCGAAGCTGCTTGCTTGATCGCCTGCGTCGACGACTCCCGCTGTCCGGATTTGGCGAAGTGTTGCTCCCACGATTGCGGCATCACGTGCATGCATCCCATCGGTTTGGACAGTCGAAACGGTCAGTGGTGGCAGTCGTTATTTTGTGAGACATGTGTTTATTTCCCATTCGTATCTGTATCATGCAGACTAGCAATTTTGCAAATTGCAAAAGAGAGTCATAAAGATCAAGGACTTTTGCAAATTAAGTCTCGGAAATAGATAGCAGATGATGGGACCTTATATTTTTCATTTAATTTCAAGTAAATTCCATTTTGTTTGATTTGTAATTTAAGAATGAATTACGAAGACATTTAACGTCGTAAATTTAACGTGTAAAATTAATTTAGTAACAGATGAGGCCTTAATTCGATGTTTTCATTACGCGAAGATCGACTCTAAATTAATTTAATAAAGAATCTGCAAATGAGAGAGAGATACAGCTACTTCTATTGTAAAATTACTTACTCATTGCAAACAACAATTTCCAATTTAAATTAGATCTGCCAGCTATACCCGAGAATCTACAGATACAACAGCAAAAGAGAAATCTGGTATTTCTGACGTGGCGCAACAGTAGGTCGGGTATCAGCAACGTGTCCGCCAACGACGGGGATGTTCGGTATCTGGTCGAGGAGCGTCATCTGGTCGGCCCCAGATACATGGAATCTAGATTGAGCTCATGGACTGTATGTCACGTGTCGACGAAGCCGCACGCGACCCTCCGGGGTAGGCTGAAAACAGGACACTGGTATCAGTTTCGTGTGGCGGCTGTCAATGGAAATGGATCGCGCGGATATTCACAGCCTTCCAGGCCCTTTAAAACGAAAGGTGAGTACATCCGAGTGAGATGAGAGAAAGCAAATCCACGTAGCGTATTTTATCCCTCGATTAATTACCACTCCGATCGAATCGTTCAGGCGAAAGAGTGAAAAAAAAGAGAGCGAATTTTTGTATAACATTATAAATTAATACGTGAGATTTTGTAATATTTGTGATATAATGTGAAAACTTATTAGTGAACATGAAAGTATACAGCGTCAGATTAAAACTTGCAAATGTAACAAGTTTTACATTCTTATTCCAGCGGTTATTAGTTATTATTAGCGACAAAAATGTACGCTTGATCGACGTGGCCCCAAACCGATGGTCGGTCTTCGTCTTAAACGTTTAAGCCCGTCATTCCTGCATTCTAAATTGACACGAGAAAACAACAATTTAAGGATGTGGAAGGCTAGAGTTATTATCGTTAATTGTCCGAACTTGTGGAACAACTCGTCTCACGCGAGGTCGACACGCGCGTAACGCTCCCCCTGAAGGAAAATTTACCTGCGAATGCGTTCGTGTGTTCGAGAACTGTTTGTTTGTTGACTCGCAGGGGGAATTCGGGCCATTAACCCGCGGTGAAAAGTTTCAGAGTCGCGTTAATCGCTTGCGCAAATCGCCGCGGTAAGTATTGCTTAATGTTGACCTTTCGCACGCAAATTAAGCTCCGCTGGCCGAGAGCGAAGGCTGGTGCCGCTAACGCGAGGGCAAACACGCCGTCGAAAGGTCGTCGGGTGCGACGCGATTCGACAAAGGGGAACGGCGGTGGCCGTGATAATGAACGCGAAATATTATTCATAAGCGGCGTAGATAAATCATAGTGTCAATTATTATCTTAAATGAGTCTCAATTGGATGTATGATTAATATATTCTTACATGAACTTTCCGCCTTCGTCACGATCATGCCAAACGGGTTTGGTTCTTGAAAAAAAAAAAAAAAAAAAGAAAGAATAATTAATATAATGAACGGTTCACGCATCAACGGATCATGCAAAACCGGATTAAGTATTCCAGTTTCTATGTAAAATAGAGAATCGGCTAGAAATCACATCTGTTCGGTTATCATCCTGAATTATCTAAGTCAAAACGATTTATTTTAATGCTTGATTTATTAATATCTTAAATTATATACATTATCAAATAAGGACGCATTTGGTATACTCGCGAACAGAATAGAATTTTAGAATAATATTTCTCATCAGATCATTCTGTGATTCATTGAATTTATTCAAAAATTAAATGCATATTGCATTTAGTGTATGAATAACTAAATAAAAAATTAATACTTTACACTATTAAAGGATTGATCGATTATTGTCGACAATTTCGCATATGTTAATTCAGGAAAGTTTTTATATATAAGAGAAATAATATATGTGTTTATTAATCAAGTTGCAACAGCAGTGTATTGCAGCGTAAAGTTATCTTTTTCATTATGTTCATTGTACATACGCGAAGAATATAAGCTTCATTGTAATTAGCGTTGCATCGTGAAGAAATAATGATCTTACCGGCGTTGCACTGTGAAGCAGCAATGATCTCCCTCGGTTGCAGAACCGCGAAATCCAAAGGAACCGCAGAACTTGACATTGTCTAACGCGCGGCTCGTCGGTGGAAAGCTGCGTATTAATTTACGATGGATTAAACCGGTGTCGGATGTGCCGATATCGTTTTACAAAGTATTTTGGAGCAGATTTATCCATGGGCCAACGAACGATTCTATTCTCGTCTATCACAAGACAATTCTTAAAGTAAGTTCTCTTCATCTCGATGTTGGCAGATTTCTTTGAAAAATCGATCTTAGTCGTCAAATTCAATTTTTATTTGCAACAAGATGTGAAACGAATTAGATTAATTTCATTTTAAATAATTTAATGTAAACGTATGATTTACATGTAAAAGGAGTGTCACTCCGATATACGATTATCTTTATTGCTTGGGCGCTTGGAGTAATAGAAATAAAAATAGAAAGAATCAAATTCGTAAATCGAAATCGTAAATCGAAATTACTTCACTTTAAATCGATTTTCAAACGTACTACAAATTAAATTTATGACATAAATTTTAACTTAGCTTCGAACATTCGGGATTTTGTCCGATGACATTCATAATCGAGATGGAATCGCTTTTCGAGCGTGATCGAGATTTCTGTACGTGCCTTCCAGGACAAGACCTGCTACGAACTGAAGAATCTGGAGCCCAAGTGCCAGTACTTCCTTCAGGTGCAGGCGGTGGCGATGTACGGCGGTCGGCGTCTTACCTCGCGCAAGGCGTCCAAGGTCTTCAACAGCACCGATTACATGGCGTACGGTAAGGTATCAAACCTGCTCGATCCTCCGTATAGCGATAGCTTATCAGTCCTTCCCTCAGTCTCCCCTCTAAGTCCAGTGTGTAATCGGGATAACCAACGAAAGCAGTGACCTTTCATTGAAGCCGACGTCGGGAGACGTTCCCGCAGGTGCGAGCGGGCGCAGGCCGGCCTTCATGTGCGCCGCATGAATTGCCATTGTGGGGAAGTCAAGGCGCGTCTAATTTGGCCGACGAGCAATGACGCTAGCATGTATAATGTCACTTGGCAAGAGGAGTCCTGTTCGCGCAAGAAGAGCCTGGAAGATCGACGGAAATCCACCTCTTGGAAGGTGGTTCAGGTATGCGGATTTCAAACTCCTTTGCCGTGTGCTTTCGCGAAGCATTGCTGCGTGGCAGATCCTCGTTTTAAATAACTATGTCAAAACAACTAATTCCGAATTTAACGCTCAATTTAAAATAATTTATTAATTATTTTAAATAGTACGTAATTCTCTTCTCCAAATCTAGAATATTTGATATGTTTAAAAAAAAACTTTGGCAATTAACACTTATAATAATTAATAATGAAAATAAAAATGAGAAATGGATTTCGATATTATCTCTTAATCTTACCCTTTAATTTCAGACACCGCATTATGATTTGCGACAGCTTCGAAATGACTGCATGTACAGCGCAAACGTGCGAAATATATTGAAGAGTGGCGAAAGTGTCGGTCATGGGGCCAGTATAGAGTTCTTTGCAACCGGATGTCAGGATGATCAAAAGCGGCGGAAGTATCCGCGGGGAAAAACAATGCGATGCAAAACGAAATCCTCCCGATCCATAAAGCAGTTTTCCGGTTTATTTGTGATAAATAAATAAATAGAGATGAATAAACATTGAGTTTATTTGAGCATATACGCAAAGCAAACAAATTACAAGCTAACAATAACATATAATAATTGTAATATCTATAACTTATGAATATAATTATTACAATTATTAACAAAATTATTAATTATTAAAATTATCAACAATATTTTCTTCGTAGCTTATAAATATTGCTCTAGAATCTTATAATTCAATTGTGCTTTGTGTGAAATAGTTACATAAAATTATTTTTTGAAGAGAGCACGAGGCTTCTGCAACTATTCATAAATGCTTTTTTACATAAGATTTTCTCATAGTAAAAATCGGAGATTTTTGATGTATATAAATGTTTTTACTTAATATTAAAAAAAATAATTTGTTAACATAGATGTTGAAGAAATAAATTTAAAATTTTAGCATGTTTCGCTTTAAAGTTTTATGTATAAATTTTGTATTCATTGCGAAAATGAAGAAAATCATATAACAGCAATTTTAATTTAAAAGTTTGGCTTGCATTTGCGTTCTTCACTTCAAAACGCGTTTCCGAATTTGCTTTTATTTTTTAAGAATCTTATATGAAATGGCAAAGAAACCTAAAAAGAAAAATGTAGGTGTAAGTCTTCACTTGCATAAGAGAATTGTTTATAAATCGTAAAAAATATTCACATAGATTTATCAGAAGTTAAATACATACATATACTTATATGAGAATATATGTATATTTCGCGGGATATCAATCACAAATTTCCATTATTATATATTTATTAATAGGAAATATATTTATCTTTTTTAGATAACATACAAACATATTATAAATTTATTCTATTAAGTTTTCTAAATTCACTGCAACTTATTTTTTTGCAGAGCAAAATGATATAATATTTATTTTTTATCACTTCAATATGCAAGTAATATAGATTGTAAAGCGATTTATATTTTTGTGCGTCACAAAATAGATTTTTATAAAAAAATGAAATTGTTATAAATTTATTCGTCTCATATGCTCGACCTGCAACATCAAATTTAATCATTAAAAGAGAAATTTAAATACTTCTGTACAATTGTTTAAATTCCATGATTCTATTTTACTACCAACATTTAATTTAGAATGCGTATATTATTAATGTTAAGTATAATAATCTTAAGTATAATTTTCTATACAACAATTTATAGATGCGTCTACTGCAAAAAGAGTTATTTAGATATAAGATGCTCTGTACATATACAATATTAACTTAACTATTTAACAAAAGAAGATTCTACCTGATAATGATAATGCAATAATCACTTTACTGCATGATAAAGTAAATTTTAAACACATTACACGCCACCATTATTAATGTAATTGAGATTTTTATTTTTTTTACCTTGTTTAATATTTTATCTAAAAAAAATCTACTAATAATACTTACATCATCTTATATGATCACTATTATATCTTATATGATCACTAATCATTATTTCCGTGTATTTTTTTTTAATAAAAAAATTACAAATTGTAACAACACAATAAACTAATCATAAGATTATTATATTTACCTTACACAATAAATTTTGCATCGTATTTAATTCTGTACAGTATATTCTTCATTATTTTTTTACTTCAACTATTTTTAAAAATAAGAGAGAAATTTGGTATGCTTGATTCATAATCTGGAATAATTTGTTGACAAGATTTTGGAAAATTTTTAATAAATAATATTTTCTTGTAAACAGATACTTGTAAATGATAGTAAATGCACGTAATCTTACCGTCATAAATGAGGGCAAGGAGATATTGAACTTTTCACAAGCCACAATTCTACATTTTAGATTATTGCCTAATATTATTAACATGAATTTACGTTTTATTGACGGCCGGGATTGATACCAGTTTTTGTGAAATGCCATATCTGTCATTTCCGTACTCTAAATAAGACAAAAATTAACGTTGGAAGTATAAATATAAATATTAATCACGAATGCTTCTCAAGTTAACTTCAGGAATATTCACATATTTCGTAAATGTTTTCTATTCAAACAACAAGTATGCAACGGTATCTTGTATTCAGCATTCCAATAATTAATATTTATTTCGGTTTATCATTTTATATTTGTGAGAAATATTTATATGACAAGGCGTTGGCCAAAGAATGTTACAAATCGCTATTAGCATAATTACTAAGACAACTAGTCGCGAATAAAAATAATATATTATAATACAACTTACCGCGTCTAATAATTTTTGTACATTAGAACACAGAATATAAAATTGTATTAATTCGCCACATGCAAAAAGAATCATTGCAATCCGTTCAACAACGGTCGTCAATAGCGCCTAGAAGAAAGAAAGAAATGAAGCATCATTGCATGAATATCAATGTAATTTCTACTATCATTTAACCGAATTCAAAATTTATTTTTTTTTTAATTATGCTTTTAATTTTTCAATGTAATTTTGAAATGAAAATGTAACTTTTAACGTTCATAAATCTTGCAAATTGTGTAATTATAAATTATTATACAAAGAAACGTACGTATTCCATAGTAAAGTACTGTTTATAGTGTTAATTTACGACAAGAGAAGCGGAGATTTAGATATCATATTATTTTATAAAACATTTTGAGTTTTTTAATAATAATTTAAGTTATTAATTATTATTTTAATTATAATTTGAGTTTTAACATTTATACATTTTAAATTATCGGAAAAATATTTTTAGGACAATTAATGTTAGCAAATAATACTCACTGTATTACTCAGCATGACTCCGACGAAAGAGAATCGTAAGATGCTACTGATATAAATTAAACCAAAATTTACAGACAGCAACTTCTTTAACATAGATGATATGCTGAAAGAAATAGAATATGCGAATAAGCGGTATGTAAATATACATATATAAAATAATTAAATATCGTTAAAGAGATATTTTGATCGTAGAAATAACTTGATAAAAATTAAATGATTTGAGAAATAAAATTAATTTCGTTTCAAGACAATTTTATCAATGAACATTCAATACATATCAGCCGGCTACTTACTGAATCACAATAGTGTAATGCCGACATATCGCCTTTATCTCCGTTTTTGCCCATAAATCTGTCCTAAGATAATTTTCCTTTAGAGAATTATGTTCGTCCCACGAATTTTCTTGAAATACTCTCTCAAGTTTTATAGCGACGTAGCGATATTGCGCTGTCATCAACATCACAAAGTTCAACATATAGATGTCTACGGCGGCCTTTTTTATAATTACGTATACGCTGCAGAGTACCAACAATAGACTTCCTGCGAGGAAAATTTCCATCGAGAACGGCTGCTTGGAGATGGCGAACGGTAATCTGTAATTCTCGTAGACGAAGGAACTCTTCCTGAAGATCGCCGTGAGCGGCATGGTGATCCAAATTATCACGGTAGTTACACCGGACATCCAGTAAAACTTGAACGGGGAGTGCATGAGTTTCAGAGACGACATCACGACGTGTCTCATAATCTCGTCCTGCACGCGAAGTATGCCGTTCATACTCCGGATCAACTGCACGACCAGGTCTCGGTGCGTGTGAATGTGCGCGACCATGAAGAACACCTCCACGACGAACACGGTGCCGATCATGCCGTCGCTTATAGCCTTTGTCTTAGACACGATCATGAACCCGAAGAGAAACGCGACGATTATGACGGAGGTCAACAACCATATGACAGCGCTGTAAATCTTCCAGCCTATGGGGAACCGTGCGTTATCTGTAGTCATCGGAAACAAATTACCGGAGAGCATGTTTATTCGCACATTTAAAGGATTTACATTTTGGAAGTTCATGATCTTGAAGAACTACTTCTTAAACAGATATTCTGTCTACGTGCCGTATAAAAATAGATCGTAATTTCTCGGGATTTCGAAGACAACATTCAGTGTTCTCGATGCTTATATGCGTTATTCTACACCGTGAATTTAAAACTGAGTGCGATCAAAGGGGTTTGATTACGTCCGACAAAGGCGTACGTCAATTTAGAAAATATTAATTGATTTAGTCAACTCATTTACTACAGACGACTTTCTGAAAATTTTCTCTTTAAACACAGAAGGAAAGGAGGTTTATAACTAATGGCATTTAATGGCTAAAGTTACCGTTAGTACAACTGTCTTGAGACAAATAGCTACTTTTAGTATAAAATTAAACGTACTTATCCCTCGTTTTCTATGCCATCATCGCGCATGCTGTTTTCTATTCAAGGAGAAAATGATCGGTTTAGCGAATCGGTATAAAAATCGTTGATAGGCCATTATCAATCTTTGGAGATTTATTATTCTTACTTTCTTTTGATTGTTATTAATATTATTTAATACTGTACATACATATCGATGACATCATCGTGTTTCTTTCGTAACTAGCGACAATTATTTATGATCATTGTCTAGTATAGTAGACCAACTATCGCAATACAGCATATGTCTCCTGTTAAACGATAATTTTGTATTCTACGTATAGAACTAATAAAGAAGTTCATTAATAAATGTTGCAATGACGGTCTACTGCAGTAATGATTACATTACCCTTATATTTCTCATTATGTTCACCACCATTAAAAATAGAAAAAAGTAGATATGAAAAAAAAAATTGTTCTTAATGAAAGATTTTTCTTAATAAAATTAATAAGAGATTTTTCTTAATAAAATGTTACATAAAAATTAAATTGTAAACAAATTTCTCATATTAACCAACAAGTTTTTATTACTACTAAATTCTGTGACAGACGACATATCTTTATAAATGAATATTATAAAACTTTAATATTCTTTAATCACAGTTAGTAATTAATCTTTTTACGAACAATAAATAACAATAAATTAATTTCTAATTGGTATTATACATGTTAATGAAATTAAATTCATAAATTTGTATAAAAGTGAGAAAGAAAAAGAGAAAGAGTTATTCTACCTTTACCTAACATTATAGTTTTACTATCTCTTAGCAATATATGTATATGTTTACTTAGGTCATTCTTTACTTCATCTTTAATATCAGAAGAGCAATAGTATATGACTGATTTATAACCTAAAAAATATTCAAAAATTATACAAAATCTCTTGTGATCTTAAATCACTAACAAAATAAGCTACTATATTAATTACACAGCATTATATCTTACCGCCATAAATGAAGGTAAAGATAAGTTGAAATTTTCAAATAATGAAAGGTTAATAGTAATATTATTACTAGCTGTTATCGCCAATAAAAATGAATGCTTTATAGACAAACTGAATCGGTTCCAATCTTCGTGAAATGCTTTATCCGTTATATCTGTACTCTAAA